CTTGGCGGCACCCATGGCAGATCTGTTCTGGCCGGTGTAGCCAGTGGTGGTGGTCATCTTCTTCGTCGGTGGTGGCCGACCAGAAGCTTGGTGATCGGATCTCGAGATCCATCATCTAGTCCCGGCTGCGAGTTGGGGAGACATGGTTGCCTGTGAAAACCGAGCCGATGGCAGGCGATGGCGACGTTCTACGCCGTTACCTTGATGAAGGCATCGTCGAGTAACTACTGTCGACCCACTCGTGCTGCTCCGGGGGAAACCCTAGGATCTGGTGTTCCAGATCGGACGATGGCGGCACTGCGGTGTCGTTTCTCTCTTGGGAGCATCGTTTGTGGAGCAGCGCTGGAAGTCAGAGGCAGGAGGTGGAGCGGCTTCGTCTTGCACGGAGCTTCGGTGGAGATGTCAAGTAATGCCTGACCGACAGGTGCTACGCTTGGTCATGCCTGGTCGGCAGGTGCTACGCACGACAGATCTTCCAAGGACTTCAAGCTGTGTCGGTTGGTGGTACTTGGCAGCATGGCGCTGAGGTATATCAGTGGCGACCGCGACGTGCTCAGCTGTTTGCGCGCAAGGAGGTGTCGTTGGGCGCCGTGGTGGCGTGATGATAGCTAGACCGAGCAAGGTTGATGCATCAGTACAGTTCTGAAGATGGAGCGGTGGCAGTTGGCGACGGCGGCCTCTGAGAGCACGCCGGACTAGTGTGTGCCCCAGACCCGGCAAGTGGCTAGGTTGGGGTCTCAGGTCTCAGATGTTAGGCTTGGCTGCGATGTCTGTTTGGTATTAGGCCCAGGCTATCTACGCCCCTTCATCAACTGGATAGGTGTAGCGACATTTGTTGCTTAGACGGCGGCTTTAGTCTTACTATTGTATGACTTTGTAAGGTCTTGTGAGAATAATTAATAAAGTGGCCGTATGCATCGCCCAGATGCAGAGGCCGGGGGTCATCCTCCTTTTCTAAAAAAAAGTTATAAAGAAGGACGACTTGCATTTAGAACAGAAAAACAAAAACACAGCCGTATTGATCAGGACCAGAGGCCAAATGCAAGGATAACTATCACAAACAATTTTGAATTTCTCACTTGATTATTTTTGTGTTATTAATCTTTCGATGCACATAATGAATTTAGAAATCAAAATCAGCTTTATTTTACTTTATGTTTTGGGTGGAAGATCGCTGCAAAGACAACATTCAGATCTTGCCATTTGCAAAATTCTAATGTTAATTCGATACACTAATTGAATATACGTTGAATTTTTTCCAACAAGATTGTGGTTTCTTCTAAACAAGTTGTCTACAAAAAAAATTGTTGAAACTTCACATACAATATAATTACCTCCTTAATTCTGGAGCACTCCTTATGTCCCATAAGGATCTCCATTACAATAACACCCAAACTATATATGTCGGTCTTGAAGGTGATTTCTCCGCTAATTAAGAATTCTGGTGCCATATATCCCCTGCACAAAATTTTGGTGTAATCTGTTCGATTAGGTGAATGAAGAGTATGCAAAAATAATTGGCAGATGACTGATAAAAATATGAAGTTCGCAAAGAATATTGCTAGCCTACATTGTCCCAAGCTTGTGATCAGTAATAGCCCGACTCTGGCTTCCACTTAAGCGCCGTGGTAGACCGAAATCTGCAATTCTGGGCACCATGTTATCATCCAATAGTACATTCTGAGGTTTTAGGTCCATGTGAATAATACGCTGTTGGTGAAGATAATGTACGCCCTCACAGATCCCCTTGATTATTTGGTAACGTGTGGTCCACTGAAGTCGACAAGATGCATCTGCGAAGAGTATACAATATAACAAATAGTTAGTACTATATGCGGTGGAACAAGCAGTCTAATGAAACAAAAAAGGGCCTTCATGAATAATTGCCTGATTTTGAAAGTTACTAAATATGCTAACAAGTTCAAAGGAAGTTCTCGAAACACCCATCTCAT